CTTACCGTTTTTGAAATATTTTCAATTTTGTGAAATTGCAGTAAAAATTTCAAGGCTTCATTTCTCCAAGGGTATCAAAGTTTTTAATACTAAATATTTACTGAAGTTTAATTATTGATTAGTTATTGTGTTGCAATAATAAAAGTAATACTACTTCATACAGAGTGTCTAAAAATTTATATTAAATAATTTCTAGCTTTAAACGGCAATAACTTGTTTAATTTAAATGGAACACCCTGTATATTTTAGGAGAATCAGATGCACAATTTAATTGTCCATCAAATTGTATTATATCATTTTTTACCTATCTCTTCAAGTTTTCGTAGAAAATGCGTTTTCTAATAATTTAGACCTCATTTATCAATATATCTACGGAATATTGACATTTTAGATTGTTTTTAAAACAACAAATGTACGAAATGTACAGGTACTAAAATGGGATTGAATTTGCAATGCACCTTTTAAAAAACTATTCGTACAGCTGCTTGGCAGTGGAATTCATTATTTCTGTAGAACTTTTACTACACTCTCCACTCTCCTGGTTATTTTCTGAGTTCTGTTTGTGCATTTTGAAGCCAAAATCTTCAAGAACAAGTGCCAGTTCCACCACAGGTGTATCTACTCTTTTAAAATTATGCGTTTTTTCGAAGCAAAAGTTTGTGGGCTGTTTTCAAATACTTAAGTTGAATTTATTAAGTATTCGCGGGTGTTAAGTACTGAATCTCCTGATGTTTCCTTGGGTATTTGATAAATAAGGTCTAAATTATAAGAAAATGCATTGTCTAGGAAAGCATGAAGATATTTAATAGACAGTTCAATTAGGATTCTGTTTCTCGTAAAATATACAGAGCGTTCCAGTTAAATTAAACAAATTATTGCCGTTTAAAGCTATAGTCTGTCCAACGAGAAGATCCTTGACAGTGATAGATGTGTCTGTCATTTTTTTTTCAAAGTAGTTTATTTTATTTTACAAAGAAATAAGTTGGTACAATTGGAACGCATAGCAGGAAATTAATATATTTAAAATTTGACTGACAAGTGATTACTTCAAAATATTGTGAAAAAAACTGTATAAAACTGAAAAAATGTAATCGAGCTATTTTATTTAATAAAAAACGGTATGTGTTATAATACAAAACAAACAAGAACAAGACACCACATACCAAAAAAAATATAAAAAAGAACTATTTCTTAATTTCAAGCTTTATGAAACTTTGAAACCCGCATTTACGATTATATTTATCAATATAACTTATGTACAAATACAAATTTGTAATATTCTACAGGAATAAATAAAATAACATAAATAAAACAAACTATTTTATTAATAGTAACACTTACCAAATTTTATACCTTAAAGGTTGATTACTTAACTTTGATCTTAATTTTTTTAAACCAGTACCTTTTGATATTATTTTTCTGCAGTACTAAAATCCATTATTTACCTATCGTGTGATGTCGATATTTTACAGCTACTCCAGTTTTTAGTATGTGTTTAGTAGGTTCCTTCTACCATATTCGAGATGCACTTATCTACGACGAGATGGTATACGAACTTTATTGATGGTAACTTTATTGGTGTATAAGACTTTCTGCCTGGGCAGCGAGTATTAACCATAAACTGTGCTCTGGGTCTACAGTTAATTTTCACTCGATTTTTCCTCCACTTGACTTCAAAAGACACAAAACACACGTAATAACACGAATCAAAATGCACCATCTTCCAAAACGCAGGGTATTTGACAAAAGTTGACACAAAATTATAACCTTTAATTTGACAAGACTTTGACAAGCGTCAAAAATCTAGAGGCGAGGTCATACGCATCGGCGTCCGTTTGTCGTTCATCGTTCCGTCAAACCAATAAAATTGAAATACGATCTGTCATTTTTAGAATAAACCAATAAAACTGGTTAAAAACAACAAGAGACGACGCATGACGGATTTATATTTAAACCCATCCATAGTTAACTTAAAAATTATTAGAAACTTTTTTTAGTAAAATAAATAGATTGGTATGGGACGTCATCTGCTTTTCTTCTGTCATCGTCTGTCGAAATCTTACCTGAGAAAGAACAGAGTATAGCAATTTTTTAAAATATTTTTAGACACTCTGTATAAGGTAGTATTATTTTATTATTGCAACAAAATTTAGTAAATAGAAAAACTTCAGTACAATATTTGGGTTGAAAAACTTAAATACGTCTATAGAAATGAAGCATTCAAGACGATTGCATAATCATATTATTTTGTAGTAAAGACAATCGATTTACCATTTCAAATGTGTTAGAAAGAGTCATTCCCTAATAACATGACCTAACTTTAATATGTCATCGGTCGTAACCTCGTGACCTTATCACCGACGCGACGTATGTAGAGGAAGCCGGGGCATAATGGGCCCCTTAAGGATTCTTGTCTACCATATCAAAATAAAAAATGTAAGAAAGCTGCGCATGTTTCTGGTTGTAAGATGTTTTATTATGTTATTAAATGGAACATTGAAAAAATTTAAAAATAAAGAAAAAAAAAGTTATTCTAATTAAAACAAAAATAGTTCATGTGCTCTTTATGCCCCGGTACTGGGGCAAAACGGGCTCCGGTGGGGCATAATGGACATATTACATTTTAATTGCTAAAATTAAATACAGAACGCACAAATATGAGTAGATTCCGAATCGTTGTCGTCTTCTCCGGCACAGGGGCAATGTGCCCATTTGCCACACTTGATGCACGAGATCCATCCTTCTGTAGATTGCGAATATAAATATCCACAATACAAGCACTCTTCATCATCTTCGCTTTCGGAATCTGTGTTTTGCATGTATCCTCTCTTTAACTTTTTGGCCTTATTATTATTATTATTAGTGCTAAGATTTTTCTGAACGGTGGTGTCATCTATATGGACCTTCCGCTTTACAACATTCTTTTTAACAGTATCGTTTGATACTGCTTTCAACTCGTCCTTATACAGAGAACTGGTTATTATTGCTGTCTTTCCTCGACGTTTCGAAACTCGCTTTTTAGCAGGCGCTTTTGGAAATGGAAATGCTTGCGTTGGAGAGAACTTGTTGAAAGACGTAGATGGACATGGAATTGGCGAACATGATCCAAGCGACGTGGAAGAGCCTGGGAGTGCAGTCACTGGATTAGACGCTGATGGTGTCATTTGAGGTGGTGTACTCGGCGGAGACGGTTTTTCTCGCGTAGTTAATGTATCCAGATTGACATGTGCATTTGAAGGTAGTTTTGCAGAATAGCTTTCATTTTCATCTTCAGGCGTGTCGGTAGTTAAACTTTGGTCTTGTTCAATAGGCACGTCCGTAACATCAGCTGGCAGAAAGTCGACATCTACAAATATATTCCGGTCCACTGGCCATATCCCTGTTTTGCGGAATCCATTTATTGCAACCGACATTGTAGCTGCTCGCAAATAAGCATTGCCGAAGAGCTCGCCGACCTGATAGTGGGTAACTGTCCTACCAGGATGAGTTCTTAACCATTTTTTTACCTCCTCGCTATAATAAGTGCTTAATGGCTTCATGAATGACACATCCAGTGGTTGCAAACGATGTGTGCAATGGGGGGGGAAGCACAATAACACTACACCGTTATCCCTTGCATAATCTATAAGTTCTATGCTTTTAACATGCGTGACGTGGCCATCCAATAGTAGTAGTACTGGATCATCCTTTTTTGCACGTGACCATTGGACAAACTTTTTAAACCAAGTCAAGAAGAGTTCTTTGGTCATCCATCCCTTTTTGTTGCATTCACCCCATGAATTTGGTGGTGTGCCATTCATGAGCTCTATTTTCATCCTCTCCCTGGGGAATATAAACATGGGGGGCATAAAAGAGCCATCAGCCCCCATGCACACTTCCACAGTAAGTAGTTGCCCCCTCTCTGCAGAAGACAGAGATCCCACTTGTTTTCTCCCTTTGCTGGCCAAAATTTTTCCTAAAGACTTAGCCACGGTTGTTATGCCCGTCTCGTCTACATTAAATATTTTATTTTCTTTTATTTTGTATTTATCTATACACTGCTCTAGCAAGTCGAAAAAATTGTTTACAGAAACGCGGTTAAAACCTTGGGCTCGAGCAGCTGATGTCGCTTCTGGTTTTCTTAGTGACACTGTAGGGTTTCTCTTTAAGAAATATTTTAACCAGTCCTCCCCAGCCATGCGTGTTTCGTGATCGAAATTGTGACGCAAGCCATTTTTTTCCGCGAGTTCATATGCTAAACTTCGGAATTCTTTACTTGATAGACCAAAAAGGCGACCTTCCATGCCTTTTAGATATTCAGCAAGTTCACTTTCTTGTTCTTGAGAAAAAACAGGTTTGAAGCTACCTGGTTTCACTATTTTGGCCGCAATATCTGGATTTGCAACGCTCTTTTTAATATACCTTTGCAAAGTGGACCTGGGAATGTCATAAGAACGAGCAGCTGCTTTGCAACTTAATTTTCCAGATTTTACACCTTGTATAGCTTTTTTCATTATTTCGGGAGACCAACCCTGTCTTTTAGTCTTTTTTACGTAGTTACGTACCATCTGAAAAAAAAAATATTTAAATTTAGAAGAAATACGGGGCATAATGGGCATGCTCATTATACCCCGCCCATTATGCCCCAGGTGCAACTTTTCAGATCACATGTTAAAACAAAACCTAACCTAACGATTTAATTTTACAATAGCTTATTAATGACAAGTCTATTTACTTACTTCGACTTAACTTTAAGTTTGGTAAACAATTATACATAAAAGAACTATTTACGGATGTCCAAATAATTGGTAAAATAACTTCGGAATACACGAAAACTCGTTTATCGGCGTTAAGCAGCACCACTTGGAGTTACACGCATTCGACTGATGTTCGTTGGCGTTGGCTGTGTTCAAGCGACAATGGTCACGATTCTGCGCATGGTGAGTCGCGTTGTGCGGAGAAAGGGCTGGTGCCCATTATACCCCGGGGGCCCGTTATGCCCCGCGTTCCCCTACATTTATATTTCGTATAATTTATGATATTACGCAATCGTCTTCTTTCCTGATTCAGAGTATACATTTTTTCACATTAGACTGTATTCAAGAAACCTTTTTTATTTTTCTAGAGGAGAAACCTTTTTTATTTATTTAGAGGTTATCGCAATGACTAAAGAATCCAAGGACAAATAACACCCGAGAGCAAATTGTGACGCTGTCACCAAACAGTGCCGTGGCACATATTTTTCTTAACCTAGCTGGTTGAAGCAATATTTATATTTTTTGATAATTGTTTTGACTACGCCTATTGTGTATCATCCTAATTAATTACGAAAAAAACGTATTAAAATGTTAACAAAAGGTACAAAACTAGTATCGACGTATAGCACATATCAAGTACATATAGATGTTAATTGAAATTGAAGAAT